CACAGTATAATCAGATTTGAGATTTTATTTTTTCTGGAAATTAGATTTTCAGCAATCAGATATGACTACCTGCACAACCAATTTCTGAAAGGATTCAAAATTAAATTACCATCTGAGTAAAGAATGACCAAGCAACATGATTATCAGACAGCTGTGCTGACGTCTGCTAACTTTCAACCTACTCTATACAATACTCTTTACAATACATAAATCAGTTGACTCCCAAACATCATATTCAGTGTGTCCCACATTGGTTTCTGCACATTTTACTTCAACTATAGCTATAGCTGAAATTCTGTCTTGACAAGTGAAAACAACACTGCAGCTATGATTCTTCGTTAAAGTAACATGCACACACAAACCTGTACATGTTGCTGTTCATTAATCATGTCATTGCGTTTCACAAGACTGAAAGACAACTTTGTACAGATGCAACAAGAAATTTGATCTGTTAGCAACTGTAATAATTACTGAATCCTATGTATTGTGAGCATTAATTGAAATCTCTATAAGCACATGAAAACAAATTAAAAAAAACATCCCTAACAATGTGTGAAATTGCAGAACACCTGGATGGATGGTGTTTACATCTACTCAGAGTGGAGATTTCATCCTCTGCTTTCATCCCTTAAGCAGAATCAGCTCAAGATACATCTTGTTCATACCCCATAAAGGGAAAGATACTGCCTTCAGTTGGTTACTTTGGTCATTTTACATACTCTGGATTTTTCAATCCCTTTAATAAAGATTCAGTCATTCATTTTATAAACAAAAAATAACTATACGCCATATACACTCTTTTCTTTCTTAAACACCCCAAACAGACTATACACATCACATTATTCAATAAACAGCATTAGGCTGACAGTTATAACACATCTCACCATCAAATGAATATGGCACTTATTCTACCAATAATTTGCAGTCATTTCAACAGATTTATCATCTGGCAGATGTTGCTGCTATCTTTGATGTACAGGTGCTAGTGTCTTGGGAGCAGTTTACAACTGCGACAATGATGGGGAACAGCTGGTCTAAAAGACATTTTCAATGACCTCCTGCCTTTGTGCACTACTTCTGAATCAATCAGTCAGATGTTGTCAGCTACGGGCTTGCAGATCTGTTTCCAGGTGAGGTAACCTTTATCAAAAGCTGTCTATTAAATAAGCAGTGTTCGTGCCAGGACCTTTATTTCAGGCCAAAGCAGACTCATTATTAACCTCTGCAAAATGACGTACAATGAATACAGTGCTTAAGTGATCTTACATTTTTTACAGTTATTGAATATTCAAAACCAAAATATATTCTGTAATCTTCATGTTCATTTACTAATACAGAAGTCTTCTACAACTTAAGCAATGTATAAATATGATTTTAAACACATTGGCTTATAATGACACAGGTACTGTAAATTGTGTGCATGTATACCGTTTGCAGTTTGTCATCTATGTAAAAGAATCATGCAAAACTTTGGTAGAACTATACAGCTACAGTGCTAATAAGTTTGTAAATCTCCAATACAGTATAATTATGTCAATTACAATTTCCATGATACCCTCATTTAATAGAAACTGGTCTTTTATTAAATAACCAAAAGGGTTTATATTTACTGATTTAATGCTTATTGAGATGTAATGGTGTATGACATTGAAGAAAATTAATAATTAAGAATTAGTGTACATGAAATAATAAGTTAACCTCTAGTTTACTTAACATATTGAGGGGATAATTAGAATCAGGTGGTTAAATAATGGCACAAAAAATAGTAGATATTCAGCAGGCTGAAAAGGATGACAAAACCATCCAAGGCTTCAGTCATCCACTGTTAGATAACCTACAAATATGACTCTACCTAGAACCAGTTATTCTGCCAAAATCTCCCTAAACCCAACTTTGGAAAGAGTGACAGAAAGTTACAAAGAACCTCAGAGTAAAGTCTGAGTCTCTGTAGGTCATTATCCCAGCAGCTAATGTAAGCTGTCTTGCCTGAATGGGAAAATACTGATTGAGAGGATTGACAGGTGGAAACCATTACTCTCTACAAAGAATTTAGCCACCCAGAGTGCTCATGGATGATTCACAAGACTGCAAAAATGCCCTCTGGAAAGACATTTGATCTTTCTGGCCACAATGGGAATTTGTTTTTGTGTGGCGCAAGTCAAACACTGCCTTAAAACAGAAGAACCTCATCCTGACCATCAAGCATGGTTTTGGGAGTATCATAGTTTGGGGCTACTTTGCTGCTTCAGGATGTAGATCACTTGCCATCATTGACAGAACCATGTTTTTAGCATTGCATCAATTTATCAGCATGTTTTAAATAGAATTTCAGGTAATACAATTAGCTGAACCTGAGATTAAATTGGATCATGCAGAAAGAATATAATTCCAAACATACAAGCAGATCTACAATAGCATGGCAGAAGATGAAGCAATTACAATCTATTACATTTATCTTTCCTTAAAAGACTGTCGGATAATTTCTTTTGCAAAAAGCTTACAAAGGTGAATGTGTTTAGTGATCTTTAAACCTTCGAATTTCCTCTATAGTCCCATTTCTTACAATATGACAGTTCCATCTTCTGCATTAAAAAGTGTTAAAGAATAGTTGTTCTCTCAATGAGCACATACTTCCTCCCTACTTACTAAAAAAGAACTGTCTGAACACCACAGTCCTGTAGTCAAAGATCACTGAGTGGTATGCGGCAGTCTAACATATGAAAAATAAAGTCTTAGTCGTGGTCAAGACACCACAAATGTAGTTTTTTCTCAGAAGATTTCAGGATCCTTTCTTTCACAAACAGCTTTCAAAGATAATGTGTCTAGTGCTCTTTAAACCTTTTTTCCTCCTCTGCAGTCACATTTATTATAATATGACTGATTCATCTTCTGCATTAACAAATGTTAAGGAATCGCACTGGCTTTAGAGAAAAAAAACCAAGAATGATTTGAACAGCACATAAAGACCACTGATGTTTTCAAAGATCATTGTAGTTAGAGATCACTGATATTTTTGACAAATTGTAAAACAGGTTTATTTACAATTAAAGGGCAGTCATTGTGCATTGTTTCTACAGATATAACACTGCAAAGTAGGCAAAGAACCTTATAAGAGTTCTGCAAAATAATAAATGCACACAGTACATTCCTCCAAATAAAATATGCCAACGTACAGAAGTTTGTGAAGTTTTAAAATCAGCATTTAGGAGTGAATAGGCATAGCAAAGTTATTCCAATACCTTTCAAAATATATAATAAACATCAGCTAAATTAAAATTCATGGGTTCACGTGCATTCTGCAAATAAATATGCAAATCTTGCTTTTGAATGTTCCTCTAAGCAATGTCCCATCTGCACCTGAACGATGTGCCTTAGAAGGTTAGCTTATGGTTTATATAAATGGAAGATTTTAACACCTCTGAGGAGTTGAGGGCACCAGTTTACAAGCAAATAATTAATTTGTCACAGATAACCGCTGCTGTTAATAAAGTGTATACATTCTTCTACATTAAGACAGTATTGATATGATTTCAAAACATGTGGGCTTTGTTATATATATCACACAAAAAATAATTTTCATTATTTGTTATTTTTTAATAAAATTCAGGTCAAAGTTCACGGTTCAAAGTTGCATACCTAAAATGGTTATCTGATTTTCCACCTCATCATCTAATATGTGATTAAAACCTCTATTATACAAAAACAATTCCGTTTAAATATACATTTAAATAACTTGCAGACACAGAATTTGGAAACTAAAAAACTAAGAAACAATTAAAATTATGTCTTAAACCTCATCCAAAAAGTCAGTTTAACAGTTCAGCTAAAAACCAAATCACTTGAAATAAGTCTTTTCCCTTGACAAACACATTTTTTCAAAGGTTCGGCATATATTTTAATCATATTTACCTAAATGGAATTATGCTGGGTGGAATGGCGGTATAATGGTTTGCCTTGAAGTGCTGGGGCCCTGCGCTCAATTCTTAATCCAGGCTCAATCCAGGGTGTTATCTACCTGTGTTCTCATGGTTTTCCAAGTTTTCCTACTTGGTTTCTGTGAAAATTGGCCCTGATACAGTAGTGTATGTGTCTGTGAGTGCAATGTGAAGGACTGGCATCTACTCCAGGGTGCATCCTGCCTTGCACCCATTGCTTGCTGGGATAGGCTTCTGCTCCACCGTGACCCTGAATTGGATGAAGTGGTTAGAAAATGGACGCTATTGCAAAGTGGAACTACTGTATTGTACTAAAGCAAAGCATAATCATATAAAGGTACAGAAGTTCCCCTTATACAATAAATCCATAATATAGCTTAGAGCAAAAAGTGGAATTAATATCCATGTGGAGTAGTGATATTAGCTTCATATACATTCCCCACATATACAGTTCAGATATATACTGTACATACAATGTACTATGGAACATAACAACAATAAATAGAAATAGTTAAGACAAGTTTGTTATTATCTTTACCTTATAAATTGATCTGTGTGATGTGCTTGAAGTGCTTTATCATGTCTATTTTCTCAGCAGTCCTCAAACTAACATGTTGCATCTCGCAAATAGCACTTAACTTTGCACCAACACATGTTTGCCCAAAGTTTAATGGATAACACATATAACATTTTAAGATAAAGTGTGTGCACTTGCAATGCATTCACTTCAAAACTTACTGACAAGTATGGAGGACAATGAAAAGGAGTGCGGTATAACGTCTTGGCGTACTACAGTGCCTGCTACAAAACTCTCCCAGCCTATGTCGCTGGCTTTAAGCACCTCGAAAAGTGATTTAAGTGTTCTGTATCTAAGGATCTGTTCATCTTACAATGAATTTAGTTTCTGTAATGAACTGACGAAGCATCTGCAAAGTGATAAATTTCATGGCAATTTAAAATGCGTACCCACATCTCCGGCTTTGGGTATTTGAACTAAAACCAATATTAGCTGTTCATTTGGTTAGCACAGACCTAAGCACAGTAGGTAAATTGTCAAGCACTCACATATTCCCCGTATGTATCCTGTGCTGGGGGAGGCGGAGGTCTGTATCCTGCAGGTGGTGGCGCCCCTCTTGCTCTCTGTGCAGGTAGGCCCCGTCCTCTGGCCACAGTGACTCGAGCAGGAGGCGCTCCTCTAGGGGCAGGGGCACCCCGGGGCACCACAGCCTGGGGTGGGGGGACCCCTCCGCGACTTCTAGGATGAGGTTTTAGGATAAACAGAGTGAAAAGATAAGATTTTACAACTGTATTTAATGCTGAGCTTTGTCAGTTGAATACAAATCGCCCAGAAACCAATATAAAAACAAGCATTGTTAGATTTAGGAGTTTGTGCCAGTAATTACATCGAAGAAAAATAAAGTGACTGCAGCTTTAAGCTTTATGAACATCAATATTAATATGGTCCAACAAAGGTGCTCTTGTCTGAAGCTGCATGCTCCTGAATTCAATCATATTCTAAGTGCAGCATGAGCACTACACCAAGTAGCTAAAACAGCCCTTGATGTTTTCCTGAAATATTTCAACATCCCACTTATGCCAAAAGAAATACCTATTAATCTACTATTTGATCTCACAGTTTCAGAATGCTGAAAGGCAAAACCAACTAATCAGACTTCTAAATCCAATAGTTGATTAAATGGGCATTATAGGAATATTATTATGGAAATTAATATGAATTTGCTTTACATGACTGATATGTTTTGACTTTACATACATGAAAGTGGAATTAAAAGTCTATTTTAATTTTTCTTTCTTCAGTGGTACAAAATGGAGAGAGCTACTGTAACTAAAACACATTCACAGTCTTCTCTCGACAGACACATCGACAGATGTTTTCTTTGAAATACATGCACAATCTTTTTGGAATAATCACAAAACCAAAATTAAAAGTGTTCATTCATTTCCATTATTCTATTCAATAACGTAAGAAATAAAATAAGTGATGTTGAAGATTTATACCTGGGCAATCCAGGGGCTGGTGTTCCTCTCCCTCTTGCAACTGTTTTTCCCCTTACAGATGGCACTTCTGCATCTTCAGACCCTCCATTTAGATATGTCAACTCCTGAAGTTGTGCCTGTCTGATTTCATCATTGTAATCCTGAAGATGGAGCACAAGCATAGAGTACTGAGATTAAATTACACCATATTAAATTACTTAATTTATCTACAGGTTACAGCCCAGCAATATTTAATTAATCTACTTACTGGAACAACATTTCCTAAGGCAACAAATATTTCTGATTCTTTGCTGATATTAGGATACAGCAAGTTTTAATATCACAGATAACTATACTCATTACAGTTGCTTCCCAAATACGAAGTGCAGATACATATTTGATGTTTATTAATAGTCTGTAATCACAGCTGAAAGGAAGGGATTGACATAGTTACTGTATTTATACAATGTCTTAATATTTGAGCCTGATATTTAAAAAGAGAAGTACAAGAAAATATGCATTCTTTTCTTATTCTATTACCAGTATATATATATACATTTTTTTAAATTTCAGTAATAAAATAAATTGTGCTAATATATTTCAATATTTTATACTTTTTTAGACTGAGAGTGGGTACATATAAAGTAGATATCGTAGGATAATTCTGACAAATTAACAGTTGCCATAACCATTGTCCTTTAACACTAAACACTGGTATCTATTGCTCAAAAGCCAGACAAGATACGTACTGGTATGAGAAACTTTTTGATTTCTTCAAGTGCATGCCCCATTCTAGCATAGGCTTCTGCTGGTGGAGCAAACACTTCAATGAGCACATGAAGGTCCTCATTCAGATGCTGGTACTTAGCCTCACCACTCTTTCGAAGCTCTTCTTCCTGCAAAGCACAACAATATCAGTGGCTCCACATAATAAAATGCTACATCAGCTGTATTGGAAATCAGCCTCACAGGACCAGCTTTCTGAAATCACTGTGTGGTAGAGATAACATACAGTATGTCAATAATCAAGCTGGCTTCTTAGACAGGCTTTGGTGCCAGTGGAATAAGATCAGACACGTCTTGCCTGTCTATCTATGACCAAAATCTATTGTTTTCCTATAAAAAGCAGACAATCTGTTTATCCACGCATGTAGCTTTCAGAAAAAAAAAAGTTAACCAAGGAAAACAGAAGACGTTTCATTCATGTGACCATTGTGAGCACTCAAGCTCTATTTATTTCATGTAAATATACAGGATCATATTTTCAAACGTTGTGTTTACAGAACCTAAATCCGCAGATTTTGATCACGACGGCCTCACACAGTGAATTAAAGTGTTCAGACAGAAATATATGGAAAGGGAATTTTAATTCACAATTTTCTGCATATTTTCATTCATTCTAGTGTTGTTTCAAATTGAATCAATTCCACTACAAAGACTAAGCATCACCATCCAGTTTGGAAGATTTAATTGTAGCAGTTAAACTATAAGTTTAGATTACTGCAATATTTGTCTTGAAAGAAGCATAAGATATTTAAAAGAATTTATAAAATAATCGAAACCTAGAAATAAAAGGAAATCAAGGAAATTCTAATTGAGAAAAAAAATTGTGATACATTTTATTTATGAAGCATGATACACTGTACAAATGAAGTTAGTGTTGGGTATGATTTTCCTTAGCATTAACACAGCACTGCCCTCACTGACACATAGACCCGATCAGCCATCTGAGAGCACAGTATTTGTCTCTCAGCAGTCAATATATTACGTGTGAACAGACCCTATCTTTGCATGTTCAGATGTGTAGGTTATTTCTTTCTGCAATACATTGCGCTTTCACCTTTGCAGCCTGAAAACGATTACGCAGATTGAACAGGAAATTTTTATGGTTTCTATGGAGTAGTCTGCTGGTTATTGAAGCCTATCATTCTGCAACTTATCTTACAATTGTGCCATTAGAGCCAGATGTTCTTGTGGTAATTAAAAGCTTGTCTTTTTGAATGGCTATTTATACACATTTGTAGTCAATTGAATTTGCCAATTTTAACTCAGCTTAGGAGGCAAACACAGACAACCTCGATGTTTTTTAATGTAATCACATTACTTGAGTTTAGTACTTTATCGCAAAGAATACTTTAACTTAAAATTTCAACAATTTCTTCTATTCACTATTTGAAATGAAAAAAAGTATTAAGCACAGTATGTAACCAATGAGCTACTGATGTGAGATGTGGATGGCTGCGTTTTCATTTTGCATTATGAGATCTAAAAGTTTAAGGATAATTATAGCAGTAATTTAGTTCTAACTTCTTTAAAATACAAAGTATAAAGTAACAGCTTATTACTTAGAGCAGCAAAATACCCATCTTTAGTGTGATCACATCAGGTCTCAGAAGCTAAGCAAGGACGCATCAGTCCAGTACAGGAATGGGAAAACTCTTAAGAAAAACCTGTTTGCTGGTTTAAATGATATTGTTGGGAGCAGTGGGTGAGACTCTTCCCTCCGAGACAAAACGTCTGAGCAAAAGTCCCTTTATGATGACCACGAACAGTGTCGTATACTGTAGGTGGTGCCATTCATTAGGTGGCACATTAAATTGAAGTCCTAAGTACATGTACAGCATGCAGTCATGAGTCTTTGAAATTTATATTTTATATACACTCTATTCCTCACATTCAAAGTGAAAACTAAAATGAAAGAAAAATTGATTATTAATATGAAAGAGAAATGGATAAGTCCTGATTGCCTAAGTACTCAAACCCTTTGTTGGTAACGGGTAACAGTGGATTAAGTGGAATCAGTGTGCAATAATAGTTGTTTTACATGATTTTACAGCAAATGCATCTCTGTAAGGTCCCTTGGTCAGATAGTGAATTCCATTAAACGATTCAACTATGAAGACCAAGATGCTCTTAAAACAACACCAATAAAGTTATTGAAAATTACAAAGAGAAAGATATGAATGCTTCAAAAACACTGAATCTCCCCTTGAGGACTGTGAAGTTGATCATTAAAAGCTAAATGTAAATCATACAGGTACAGTATCTCTCAGACATTGTCTAGATCTGGCTGTTCCTCCTATGGGAGCAACCAGGCAAAGAGAAAACCAGTTTAGGATACATCTGCGGGACCAACAGCGATTTTGAAAGATCTAGAGTTCAATGACTGAGATGGAAGGAAAACACACTTGACTCAGCAATATCACAGTACTCCAGAAAGCCAGCCTGTATGCCAGAGTGGAAACCCCATCACAAATCTCAGATGTAGTTTGCAACTAACTACTGCATATAAGTGGTTCTGCAAACATGTTTTGTGATCAGGGTAGAAAAAGTTTGACCTTTTATTTTAAATGCAATGTTTCACATGTGATGCAAGCCCAACCTAAATACCCTACTGCCCAACATGGTGGTAGCAGAATTATGTTGTAGTTTTGCTTCTCATTGGCAGGAACTGGGGAGCTTATCATACCCGCTAGGAACATAGTTGGAGCAAAGTACTAGATAAGTCTTGGAGAAAAGCCTGCTTCTGACCTAAAACAGGATATTGACACAATGTACTAGACCAAAGCTACATTGAGGTGACTTAAGAATAAGAATGTGTATGTTCTTGAGTTGCCTAGGCAAATCATGACTTGAATCATGCTGTGGAAAAAAAATGACAACTGTGCCTATAAGCAATCCCAAATCAACCAAGAAGTACCAAGAAGAATGGTCTAAACATTTCACTTTGGTACTTTGGAAAATTGGTCGACCCTGTGTTTCCCCTGGGCACTCTAGTTTTGGGACAAGACAGTCCCATTGCTCGCTGAGATGGGCTCTGGCAAATAGCAAATATAACCTCAATGAATCTAATTCCCATTGAATTGCTGTACTCTTTTTCAATAGTACAATAGTATATTTTTTTCTGCAGGTGATAACTTATGGCTAATATAAGGTAAGGTATAAGGTACCGAATGCTCCTCTCCATCCGTCTCAGTACTGTAAACTGTAACATACTAGGGAATTGGTTGTGGTTTAATAGGCACCTTTGTAGAAGGTGGGTCTCGCCAACAATGTAAAGTATGTTCATGAAGTTGAACATTTATAATGAAAGATCTTTTGTATCCTTGAGTCTTGAGCCCTTATAGGGTTTTTCCTTCAAGAAATATGTGTTCTTCCAGCAGTCCAAGCTTAAGCAGTTTCCAAATTATCTTGCTAAAATAGGTTTGCATTTTCATTCATCTATGCATTAAGGTTTGCAGGGAATGCGGAGTCTAGCAGTTTATTATATCTAGGCAAGCAATGGACGTAAGACAGGGTACATGAAGGATGGGACGCCAGTCCATCGCAGGGCAATACACACTCACACCAGGGCCAATTTTTCCAGAAGGCAGTTAACGTACCAGTGTATCTTTGGACTGTGGGAGGAAATAAGAACACCTGGAGGAAATTCCATAAACATGGGGTGAACATACAAAGCATACATACTGAAGCACCCAACTGATATGGAGCTAAATATTGAATCACGTTGTTTTGTTTCAAACTCTGCATGCTAAAATGGGCAAGGTGATTTTTTCATATTTTCATTATGACTAAAATCATCTTCAATTATATGTGTATATATTTCAATTTTAAATTACACTGCACATAGTGCTCATATATGATACACTAGACAGGGCCTATGTAATTGTAAATGTGTATGAAGTGTTCAGTTGCCTTTAGATCAGAATTACAAAAGCAAAAAAAGATGTGCAGTAGCTGTATAAATACACCTAGACTACATGGACAAGCATTAGGGACTCATTAAAATGATGAAGTCCCAAAGTATACAGCTTAATTAGCCTTTGTTTACTAGCCTTCACCCTCCCTCCAGCTATTCAAGTGTATTTATACAAGTACAGTGGTGGGCAGGACACAGCCATGTAATTTGTCTACACCAGGGATTAAATTCCATCCTTTCGTGTTCACTAATACAGTGTTTCCCATGCTGAGAATACTCTTGTGCTCCATGTAAAGAGCCTAGAAGTTAACAAATCTTGGCCTCATTGAAAGGATGTACACCAAACAGGGAAGCATTACATTAAAGATTTCAGTGGGATGCCCATTGTGGATAATGGTTAAACATAAATCATTTTAGAATAATACAGTATATGATGAATATCATTTGAATGGCACACAAGGCATTAAAGGAAACATCCTGCTGGACATTAATTAATTGAAGCAATTCTAAAAAATCTGCCCTTGACAGTTTATTTTTTATCTCTTTGTACTTGTAAGTAAACAAATACAACAATAATACATTGAACGTTTTAATGACTTTAGAGATAAAGACATTGATGTAATTTATATTTTAACAGAAAAAAAGAAAATCTAATAAGTTCAAGACTCATTTGTTGCAATGAAGGACATTGTGTACATTAGTCCAGCTTCAGTGGAATTAGAATTACAAGTTAAATAGATGTATTGAAATAATTCTCATTATGCATCCCATTTCAAATGCTTTCCCACTGACCAGAAATTTTTAATATACTTCCAGCAGCACCATTTTTGCTGTAATTAGTTTTGTTTTGGTAACCCACAGATGACCCAAATGTACCCATTTTAAGGGATCCCTCTTAAAATCCCATTTTAAGTGTTTTCCTATTGATAAATAAAAAGTACTCATGCTTATCGATCACATTGATCAGAACTGCATTTTCTATTTTCAAATAAAAGGGTGCTTCAATAAAGAAGTTAACAAAAGTTCCCATTGTAAAACATGACTGTATTTGTTCAAACGTACAGAACAATTTATACTTAATAGCAAGCCAGAGGCACCAAAGCCAATCTTCATGGGGCAAGGCACAGAGGAGGGGAGCCCAGCACTCTTTGTCATTGAGATCAAATAAACATTTAAGGCAGGACAATAATTCTCAGGGGAAACCAATAATAACATTGTGCTACAATATAAGACACCTTTCCACTTGATCCGTTAGCAATAAATTAAACAGTGACACCAACGTGGTCTGAAGAATTTAGAAATTACTAAATGCCAGTTCATACCTGCAAGGTGGGTGGTTCACACCAAAAATGTAAATACTCACAGCAGGTGACAAACAGTGGCCTTGAACTGCACCCTTTCTGCAGTAATATGACAAATGCTTCAGAGAATTCCAACCTGGTAGATTTGTGAGTGGCTTCAGTACGGAAGGAATGTTATCAATTTTATAAAAACTAACAAACTGCTTATCTTTTAATTTCCTAACTGCTTATAACCCTGGCAAGTGGAAACGTACCAGGGGGCATCTACAGTATAGGTCAGTGGAAAAGAACAGCTCATATCTTAAATATAGTGAAAAGGGAAGCCAAATGTCTTGTTTTGCAAATGTAAGCAATAACGAAAGTCTTAATAAGGAGTTGTTTTCCGCTACCCAAGCTTGGCTAAAAAAACAAATGATTCGTTTTAGGGATTAGGTAATCTACGTATGTTAAAGGTATGAAGTTTGTCTGTTACTGTGTATAAAAAGCGCTGAGCAACATCTTTCGGAGAAACTAGCTTTTGCAAGCTGATCTCCCGTATGCTTACGAATAAACAGCTCTTCTTTCACCAACACCCGGACTCTGACATTTTAATGTTTCTTCAGTACTCATAGGGCATGCATGTTTCAGTATCCCAAGTACCCATGAACTAAGGAATATTCACTATAGAGCCCAGCGGAATTTTATTTAATCAAATTTCTAGATATCTGTTTTTTTTTCTGATCATGATTTCCATACAGCAAGCAATCCTAGACATGGATTAAGTTTGTAAATATCCATTTTGTTATAACTGACATGATTGTAATCCCTCCTCTTAAGGGCACTCTGGCTCTTTCTTATTTTGCTAATTATGTGCACCTGCCCCCAATCCTGCCCCTCCTTATTTAAGCCTGGCGCTCTCGCTACTCTGGGCTCAGCATTGGGAGATGGACGTCCGGAAGCCCGCCTACCAGCAGGTCCAGGAGAGACCCAACGGCATAGGCTTCATCACGACGTCCTGAGCTGAGTCCGGGGCTCAACTGAATCCGGGGCCTCAGAGCTCCTGCCTCGTCATCCTGTTTTTATTCCCCGTCCCTGTCAACCTGCCCTGATCCTCGTCATCTCCTCCCCATTGTCCTGCTCCACTTACTTCCGGATTATACCGTCTGCATAGGGTCCTGAACTACGCTGGACCAGCTCCCTTTACAATAACATGGGGTCCGGTGATCTCCATCCATCCATTTTCTAACTGCTTCATCCAATTCAGAGCTGCAGGAGATGCTGAACCTATCACAGCACAAGGCAGGACACACCCTGGATGGGACACCAGTTCATTGCAGGACAAACACAGACACAAACACACCCAGGTCAATTCCCCACAGGTTAGTTAAACTACAATTATGTCTTTGAACTGTGAAACGAAACCAGAAGCCAGAGCACCTGAAGGAAAACACACAAACACAGGAAGAACATACAAAACACCATGCAGATAGCACCCCAGGTCAGGAATTGAAGCCAGGACCCCAGTGGTGTAATTTTTCTTTCAGGTGTCATGCACTTTGATCAAAGAAATTAAATCATATGGTGCATCTTAATATTTTACTCTTTTTGCAAAAGCCAGGTATGTTTAAGTAAAAAAAAGCAGACTAAAAGTTGAATGTTTAATATTTGATCAAACTAAACATGGAAAATTAATGTCTTATGATTAAAAGCAAATATTATGGGTAGAAATATATGTGTTTGCTTTGCAGAGAATTGGATGTTGAGCACTTAGGTTTAGTTCTCACAATAGATGTAATGTACAGTCCATCCATCTGTTTTCAAGCTGCTTGTACCAGTGTCTTAAATGTTTAAAATACATTTTATTACAAAAACATAAACCCAACTAATTGTGATTTGTTTATGTCCCAATATAATACATAAAAAATGTTAACTTAGCAATATCAGAGCACTGTATTATATACATGTTATTCATGTTTCTATGCACCAATATAAAAACTTTTTTGTGAAAATGGGTCTTGAAAAGGTTATTTGATTTCTCTAGGTATTTATAGGAAGCAACATATATAAAGGATACGTCAACTTAATTCATTTATTGGAAGTGAAATGTATATTTTATATGAAAATTTTATGTGAAAATTGATTAAGCACTTTTCAAGAAATATATCACCTCTGTCACTTCAACCATTCAATGATACTATTGTAAGTTTTCAAGAAAACTGTCACTGACTTCTAAAACTGTTTTTTATGGAACATTTTCTTTTACCAGGTTTTCTGACATCTATCATTAAAGACTATTGAAGAGATGTATCAAATGTAGGAAAAAGTGATACCTGAAACTGGTATGGCTACAAGTTGCTGGTAAAAGACCAGCATAAAAGACAAGTTGTGTCACAGATGGCTTGTTCCTCCATAAGCTCTGCAGAGTCAGCTCATGCATGTATAACAACTAAAAGTGATCTGTTACCACCATGAGAGGTTCTTGAGTGAGTAACGGTGAGATAGCTTCTGATGCTTACTTTTTCTTTGTCTCTCATGGATCCTTTTCCAAGAATCGACATCTTTGTGAGAGTGTCTTCCTGCAGCCTTTTTAAGGAGTTTCCACGTGGCCCAAGGAGTTTTCCGACAAAGTTAAACTGAAAAAAAAACACACGATACAAGAACGGTGCAAATAAATCTTTAGTCCACATCAATAAAAGCACCGTACAAAAAATATAGTGAAAAGGGACTGCTTAAAACTGCAAAAACAGCTAAAAAAAAGAGTCCTTTGTATATCATAATGAAAACTGAATTTGTTTACTTCATAGTAATCAAGGGCCATGTAAATTCTAAACATCATTAGAATTAATACACAAGAGGGGGCACCTGTTTTTAGCAGGTTATCAATCTAAGCATCTCTTCCAGCCACTTCTTGAACTAGTCCAGCTTCAGCACCATGGCTGGTTGGTGTAGGTGCATTCACTTTATATTGTTCAAAGTAAGTTATTAATGACAAAATTATCTGTGATGTATGTATAATGGAGTTAAGTAATTAGAACAATATAAATATAATATTTTAAACATTATTTCAATTTCATATCAAATGAAAGATCCATAGTGACTTTTTCTTAGCCTTGTAGAAATGCAGATATTGAATCGATATGCACCATCATTGTGCTGTTATGATTAGGCTCAGTTTGAGTCCATTAATGCATAAATGGCAATCAAATCAAAAGCTTTACAAACTGGGATGGAATTGTAGGGCATGCTCGCTGAAGCTGGTTTCCGTCTTTCCTAAAATGAAGAGCATTAAAGTTAGTGCTTGCTGAAGTTGTGAGGACATGGGTTAGAGTATTGCCTTTGGGACAGACCAGGAGCCTTGTTTTAAATAGAAATGAAAAACATTTAGCAACCTTTTGTGTCAAGCTCATTCATCCATATATTGATTTTTAGTAATTTATCAGAAAACTCAAGGAGCAAAGATTGGAGCAAGAAAAAGCTAAAAAGAGACAGCCACAGAGAAGAAAGAAATTGTTTTGCTCTGCAGTGCTCCTGTTGGGCTTATACCCCTGCCTGGGAGAGCACTGCTAGCTGTTAATTAGCAGCCACACAAAGAAACATGCTTTATTATTTTAGGTCTCACCTGTGCCTGCTCTGTCTGTTTCTTTGCAGTTCGGTTAATAAGATTTCCTGCAGATAGCATATCCTTGAGCTCAGGAACATGGAATAACAAGCTTTAGGGCTGTTAGCCAGCAGGCTGCAGGGCAAGTGGTGAGTGGTAACAGTTGCTTTTAGGATCTGAACACTAAGGGCACTTTGTAATTAGGTTTTGTTCTTTTCAATTTTTCCAAAGGAAATCTATACTTCCTTACATTCAATAGTAATCTTGACACAAAAACTCCATTTCTGTTTCTTTATTAAAACAGAGGGGCAAATGCACTACTGTGCTGCCCCTTTTGCAGCTATTGCAAACCACTGCATTGAATGAGTAATTCTTGGGTGAGATACAACTAGTTAAGCACAATATCTGTTAGCAGCTTTTTATTAGAATGCTTGTAGCCCTCTTTAGTCTTAAACAACTGTGTAACTACAGTATAACCATTTCAAAAGAATGCTTGATATGAAAAACAAGAGGGTGTAATACTAATCTGTGTAAGGAGCTTTTTCTAAATTTTAAAAGAAAAGTTTGCTGTTGCACAGCAAAAAAACAAGAAACAGTAAAAGCACCAAAGTCGATAGCTTTGCTCCTCATTCGTATTTGTGGTTTATGTAACATGAACAAACAAAAAGAAAAAGAAATGAGAAAACAGAAAGTAGGAGAGGGAACCAAAAATAAGATTCCTGAATTTACATTATTTTAAAATAATTTAAAAATATTATTTGTGACAATAGTGAGAGTAATAGAGATAAAAACAGGTGACATTGAATAGCATGTTCATATCTGTTAACAACAATTCTGCAGGGTAAGTGTATTTCCAGTAGAAATTCCCAAATACAGTAGATAGTAATGCACAAAGCAGTAATATCACCTCTGATTTCTGTTAAAATGTAATAAAACTGCAGGTTAGAGTACTGTAATTCTTTGCTAATTGGGGTATCTTTGAAGGTACTAAATAGGCTTCAAGTGTTCAAGGTATTTCTGTGGATCATGAGTCAACTAAAAGTCAACTAAAAAGTACTCTGCATCAGCAGCTAACACTCAATCTCTGTAAATTGCAATGGCTCCCTCTGAAATTTATTATAGACAATAGGGTTCTCTTGCCCATTTATAAGGCAATCTTTGGTCCAGCTACAGGGTATTTTAGGGATTTATTGCATGAGTATACTCCATCTCTTAATTTGATTCTGCCCTTCTTACTAAAGAAGATGCTCCACAAAATGTGCCAGAGAAGTGCCTCATGTGCAGTACCATATCTATACAAATCATTGCCCAAATCCATTAAAGACTGTGGAACTGACATTTGTAAAAATCGCTTAAAACCCACATTTTCACTAAAGGTTATAATGTATAATAAAATCGTACTCTTGCTTTTACTGTCAATTTGTTGGGCATTCTTCTTTCTCTTTTCTGTTGTTGCACATTTCATGTGTGCTATTTCAGAGAAATTTGAGTTTAAGATTGCTTATAAAAATCTGTCTAGTACTGTATGCCTGACATTAAACTGGCCACTAATAAAAAAGCAATTCCTAACCAAGTGAATTAATACTTTAAAATGTTATTGTTGTTATTATGTTATTGTTATATTATCAATAAAGTCAGCATGCGTAGGCTGCAAAGGAACAATAGGTTTATTCCATGCTGAAAAGAGAAGAAAGAAAACAATGTTTTGGCTTTGGAGCCTTCCTCAGGTGTGCGGAAGAAATCTCCATGGCCAAAGCATTGTTTTCTTTCTACACTTTTCAGCTTGGAATAAACCTATTACTTGTTCCTTTTTTATTTTGTTTGTCACTAACCATGGAGTAAGAGTAAAAAAAGGTTTCAAGAAGGTCTTCCAGAAATTGTTATTTAGAAAGTCTTAATTTCATTATTTTGAAACTACCCAAAACTTTAAATCTAAAATGCTAAAGAAAATAAGGAGAAGAGTAAGAAGAACTGTTGGTATTATGTGCATCATTACATACAGTATATTAAAAAATATAATAATTATTATTTCTTGAAAACTAGTCTGTAAGAGCTTTTTCAGATTTACACAGTTAAAATTTGTGAGTTCAAATTAAGAACATAAGAATGGCTACAAACAAGACGATGTCAAGAATATCATCCAGCAGTTTCTTGAAGGATTCCAGGGTATTAGTTGAATCTACATGACTGGGTATGTTGTTCTATCCTACAACCCTGCCTTCTGTTTTCAGTTTTATGTGCACGTCAATGTAGTATCCACTTCTGTCCTCTGGTTTGTGTTTCACTGTTTATTCTGAAAAAGTCTACTTCTTTTACTTTGTCAGTGCCCTTGAGGATTTCAAATACTTTCATCACATATCAATAAATCCTAAAAGGAAAGAAAATGTGGCACTATACAGTATAATGTAAATTGGTTTTAAAACCAACATATTGACTAAACATGACTATTTAGTCAAGTGGAAATGTTTTGATATCGATGATAAGCACAACTTTAATGAAGATTAATATAAAAGAGATTTATTAACTATATTTTCCTCTTCATCTTGCAGAAAGAACATCAAACATGTTTTTTTTTTTCTCAGGTTGAGAATGTATTATTAAAATCTTGGCTTACTTTTATACTTCTCCAAGAGTTCAGAGACTAAAATGGTTTTCTAGTTTACAGGGGTAAGCAGCAGCACAGGCAAAAAAAAAAACACTAGCTGAAGATGAAAGAATGGGACAAACAGAAAAAAAAACTTAAAAATATATACAGTACAGTACATTGAAACAACAGTGTTACACACTCCTTTATGACTGTTGCAATTAATGAGAATATATATTGAACAAGCATTTAGAATCTAGATTACAAGTTATTATAAATGTGATATACTGAAAATTTAAACCACATAATTGTACCTCTAATTATGATGCAATGCGAGATTATCATATCCTCTAAAATGTGTCATGATCATCATTCCTCCTCTAGAGGGCACTCTTACCTTTTTTCGTTGAGTTCCCTATCCCCGTTTCCCTATTTAAGCCCGGCGTCTCCGTAGTTCTGGGCTCAGCTTTGGAAGACAGAAGTCTGAAAACCCGCCTATCCACTGGGCTCAGGAGTGGTCTGAGGGCAAGCCCTTTTCCCCAGATGTCCTGACCTACTGAGTCCAGAGCTCGGAGCGCCTTGTCCCGTTATGGTTTTAACCTTTCATCTTCTTACTTCCCTGTTCCCTGCATCTCTGATGGATCTCCTGGCACTTGGACCTTGGACTGCGCACTGATTTCCCCCTTTGGACTTCCTTTTGGACTCATTCGCCTGCGCTCCCCCCATGCACTGGATCACAGTCTTCACCACCCCCCTGTCCATCATCCCATCTATTCCTCGCCATGTCTTCCCTGATGTCCTTCTCCAGTCACTTCCTGATTATACCATCCCACATAGGGTCTTTAACAACACACTTCATGGGAGTCAGAACCGACTTTCCGGGTTTTGTGACAAAATGTTACAGTTTATGCTTCCACGTTGCACTCTTCATTGGCTCTTTGTAAAAAAGAACATTTATGACAACGTGTGATAACATGCTATGAGTTTACACATTCAAAAGTGATGCTTTATTTTTAAATCATGTTAGTAGCAGGAGTTGGTCATCAGTTTTAATCATGCTACAACGATGCTATAACTCAATGAAATATAAAGAAAAAGGCTTTCGGTAAATGTTTACAGCAAGAATGCTGCTGTATGAACTCTCAGATATTCAAGCCCTATACTTTCTTCCACATTAGATTCTAAAAGAGCTACATCCTAACTGGACACGGTTAATTAATTAACTTAATTAACTGGTTAACCATGAGCAGAAATGATTTCCTCTATCTGGAGTCTGTAACCCAGGTTGAGCATTAATTCATCAATTGTTACAATCTGGCAAAAACAAAGAACTTAAAATTTTAAATTTAAAAAATATAAAAATTAAAAACACACAAAGATGTCATTGATTCCTTTTTAAGTGTGTGTTTGAAAAAGTAACACAGAAACATTTTTAATGAGTTTAAATACCC